CTTATCTTTTCATCTTTCATTTCCTTGTGGCGCCGACTCCAAAATCTTTTATGACTAAGGCTTGGATGTTGTTGTTGGTGCTGTGGCCTAATTACCGAACTCACCCTTCTCTGTTTTCTGCATATTGTTCATCTGTTGAAAACTTGTATTCCTTGAAATCATTTTTATTGCATGAATGTCTAACTTTCTTTTTGAAGAATTAAAGTTGTTTCGAGAGTTAGACACTCCCTTAAGTGTCTGTTACTGTTGTTTCTTAATGTCATGAAACATGTCACATAGCATTCTATTGTGTTTGGTCATTGTGGGCTACCAATGTTGTGCATTACAGAATACAGAGTTTTAATTCTCTTCATGGCTAATTTAGCATTCCCAAGTGAACCTGAGAAAAGACATGACATTCTCTTTACAACTTGCAATACATTTAAATATTATAGTATAGCTCTGGTTGTAGTTATCCAGATAAATGTTGTTAGACCCGTCTTATAATATTCATTTCTAATACATTATTAATGTTTAGCCTCTGTTTGTTTGGATGGTCATACTTCAAGGTAAGAAGAAAAGAATCTCCAATTCTCCATTAATTAGGAATGAACGACCAAATGAAGTAGTTGTTTGGTCTTCAACTATTAAAATGATTAAAATATGCAATGCGAATTGACCATAACAACAGAATGTTGTTGAGGATATTACCTTCTTATCAAATCCTTGAACAGGATGAACAATGAAAGCTAGATTCATGGAAAATGCTGCCCCCGGGAACTCCAGATCAGTTGGAGAACATCCATTTCATCATCTTAGGATTGCAAGTACAAAATGTATGGGTATCTATGTCTGTTTCTAGTGTATATTCAAAAGGGATATGCTGTGGTAAGTTTATGTAAATAATACAGGTTACTGTGTATTATCTAAAATGCATTATCATGCATTTTATATTTTTTATAACAGTGTAGGAATAAGTGACCAGAAATGGTGGATAACAAAATAGATGATTCTTTTTTATAGGAATCCATTTAGGCCATTACAAGTACAAATATCATCCATTTAATAACCCTTCCCCAAATCTTATAAACTTCACTCACGAGTAGGGGTGGGCGCGGTCCGGAACGGTCCGGTAAATTAGCAAAACCCGTAATGTATCCGTAAGGTTTCTAACGGTTCGGTACGGTCCGGTTCTAAGGATAGAACCATTCGGTACCATGTCGTTTCGGAACGGTACAAAACGGTTTGGTACAATGCTAAACACATGCCGAAACATTTGAACAAATTTTGCAATTAGTAGATATCATCACGCGAGCCAATTGAAGTGAAATTTTGAAGTAAAAATACTAGAAAGTGCATACTAAATACTAGAAAAGATTCAAGAGGTTGACATTTTTGTATTTAAATTCAAAAACACTCAAACAGTGAAAGAAATTTAGTAAAAATATTGCAAAATGACAATATACTATCGTATAATATCATCTTTATGAAATTCATTAGAACATATAAAAAGAATATCGTTAAATTATTGAACAGAATACAAACATTTAATGTTCTTCTTCTTTGTTCTAAGTTGAATATTAATTCTAATATAGTTCATACTTCATAGTTGAACCATAAGAGTTGTGATTCAAACCATATTAATTAAGTTATAAAACTACACAAATATGATACAACAAAAGTCATATACACTACATTACTAGAAATTAATATTCATGAATGTTTTTTAAAACTTTGATCGACATTCTTTCATTATATACCAAATATAACATAAATTAATTATCTAAAAGGAAAAAATAATACTCCGTAATATTTATATAACACACACCTATGATACATACTTGGGCTATAAAGTTGTTGGTCTATGAAAGATATTTATGTGTATGGAAAAATATAAAAAAATCTCAAAGACATTATTTTTTGTACGGTTCGGTCTGGTATTTTTCGGTTCTCGAAATCTAGGACCGGTCCCGTACCCGTTTGAAATGGTACGGTTTCTGTTCGCGATAAAATTATATAGAACCATTTATATACCTGATATTCAGTTCGGTACCATTACGGGCCGGTTCGGTACCGGTTCGGTGCGGTTTTTATGCCCACCCCTACTCACGAGAGCGAGTTTTTCCCTTTTTGGGTTCATCACATAGATCAACAGGATTATGTCACAAACCTACCTTTCACTCAGTGTTGTATACACTCATAGTGGCAGTGGTTTTATGGTCCCTATCAATACCTGAAACCACATTGCAATACATCAATTGTGGGTGTCTTCAGAATATACTCTGTATGATAAGTTGACGGCAACTACAACTTTTAATCGAGAAACATATGGATCTAGTGATGTTACTTTAAAAGAGTAAGGTTATTTTATATTGCATCTGTACGTTTTTTTTTAACTCCAAGGGCGTATGGGGAGGGGCCTGGGGGGCTGGAGTAATCAGGGCTGAAACTCACTCCATTGAGTTTTGAAGCCGAGACCCCCGTAAGGGAGAGTGAGTCGGCGACCAGATGGACTGGACCGCTTCTTCATATTGCATCTGTACTTGAAAATCTAAAAATAGAATTAACTCAGACATAGTTCAATGAGTATGCTTATGGGACTAGTAACCAAAGCATGTAATTCAGTCCAATACCATTGAACAACCGAAGATGTTGCACCAGCCCAAAGCATCAGTGCTAGCCCTGTCAACTGGTCAAGTTTTGATCCAAGCCCATTCGAAGGAGAATCCGGCCTGAATGGTCCAGTAGTTATGGATTGTTCACCGCCTTGAACAACCGGATAATGATAATTGATGGCTACTCTGGAATTTTAACTTGTTCAACAATGGTTAGTGATACAGAATTAGCCACAGCTAGGGATGGACCAGGCAATCTTCAGGCCTAAGGATTTCAAGCCCGGTACCGGCCTGGGTTTGTACCGGTACTGGGTCGGGCCGGGCCCAAACGGTACTGGGCCGGGCTTCGGGACGGGACTGGGCATTCAATTAAAAAGTAGTGCAGTCGGCGGCCGGGCCCAAAAAATGAGCCCGAAGCCCACCCTTAAAGCCACGGGCCAGGCCTATACAGTACGGGGCCTAGGTCGGCCGACCTGTCCCGGTGCATCCTAACCACAGCCCCTTTTGTTGTCACAAATATTGAAGAGTTTGGGGTGACTATCTATATATGTGAAAAAGATAAATACAAGAGATTAACGAATACAGTATTCTAATATAATTTGATCGCGATATACTGAGATTATCAATATGAAAGTAGCAACACTGCAACATCAAGGTAAATAAGAAGACACGGTGATTAAAAGTTCAAACTAGCACAAAACGATTAATGAATCTTTTCAATGTAAGTAGATTGCTACTTAGCACCAATCAACAAGAAAATAAAGAAACAAAGAAATTGTACTAGGCAAGTGAACACCAGCATAAACAAATCTTACACCTAAAAGGACAATATGAAAGCATTTGCAGTGTTCCTCTACATGATCAATACATTGTCTTCGATGTACTACTAATTCTGCTTTTCTAAATTTTCAAACTCCGCCAGGGATGGACTCAGTTCAAATTCCTTGACCGGATGGATAAAGAACTTGATCAACTACTCAGATTTTAATTCCAGGCTTGAATCACTATTGAATATTGGTTCACACCGATTCTGGATTGGATTTGGCCAATATGGTACCAGAATCAAATGGCTTGTTTTGTTTCTAGTTCTTTTAAGGCTAAAACTATGGATGGGCATACGGTACCAAACCGAACTAAATCGAGCCGAAGCTGTATCATATGTAATTTTGTTTGAGTTTGGTAGTATTTCTTCCAAACTGTATTAAACCGAACTAAATCAAAACTGAACAGAACTATAGAAATTCAATAAAAGTTTCATATGTTATTAAAAATAACAAATTCAAATTGAACCAAACTTAACTAAACCAAACTAAACCAAAAAATAGATTGGCTTTTGTATGGTAATAATTCTTCCAATCCGTTCCAAAATCAAAACCAAACCGTAACCGATAAATCCGAAACCGATATGCCCACCCCTAGCTAAAACTCTAACCGGATCATAATCGATTTTCTTGTCAAGATTTCAATTCCTCTATCTCCTACTCAAAGCTGGCCCAAGTCCATCCAAACTTCCCACATAATCCCTGCGTTGCATATTCCATTATTTACACTTCTTATTGCGTGTTCAAATTGCAATCGCATCTTATAATCCAACTACATGATTTCAATATTATCAATTGGAACATTTATTGTATAGTACAAACATACATTTTTGTATGTGTGTATAAGGGATACAAACATACAAAAATGTATGCTTGTAGTATGCTCGCATTCTATGATTTCTATCACTTCATGTTTACTACAAAATGTTGCACTTTTATGTTTAAAGGTTTATTGTTGCACCGTGACAAAAACATTTGATTATTTATCAAAATCTTACCGTCTTTTTGCTCCAAGTTCATTTCTATTGGCATACTTCAAGTCTTTATTAATCACTTGGATCTCAAATTTGATACATCATACACAATTACACTCATTTTTCACCCACATGTGGGTGTGTCAGTGTGTGGGTATATATGTATCATGTACTCCGTAAGTCCGTATGTAAAAGAACTACTTTTTCAATATATACTTCACATGCAAAATGTATACATGAGAATTACTACTCCTTAATCCAAAAGGAAAGATCGCTTATCCAAGGAGTTCCAAGTTCCAACCCAATAATATGATGGAAGAGTAAATCATAATATGATCTCAAATGGTTTCTGAGTGAAGTGAATTAGGTCATAATGCCACAACCAACCACCACTCAGTCACTCTTGAGCTATCCATGCGGATTTGATTATTACTTTGTACTCAACACAATTGCCTCACTCAGTCACTCTCGAGTATCCATGCGGATTTGATTATTACTCTGTACATATAATGTTGAAATCAACAAGACATTCTTAAAAATCGAAAGTCGTGATATTCCTACAAAATCTTTTACTCAGACGTCACTTTCTAAACACCCTATCAAGTATCAAGTACAACCCTAACAAATATGATATCACTTCAATAATTTAACGTCATTCTGAAATCTTTTGACAAGAATAGAGCCAATAGACAAGTATATACAACTACATACATCAGGATATGGTTACATGATCTTTCGACAGTGTTATATTAATTTGTACATGGCAACTATTTGTTCGGTATTAAAAAGTTATCTAACTTTTCTAACCCCAAATAAATAGACATCATTTATGAATGTAGAAAAAACATTTATTTCTATCCTTGCTCATTAGGAAAAATTATGAAAGACATCGTAAGGCTACATTTGTATATATACAAAGGAACAACCATAGATTGGTAACCCAGAGTTTTAATTTCCCTTTAGTCTTCCTGTCAGATGTTTGCCCTTGCACTGCCTCTAGACTCTAAAAGAACCCCACACCCCCAATCTACTTCTGCCTTTCTACTTTCTAGTATATGTGTGTCGCTTTAATTAGTTGAAGAAAAAGCCAAATGTATAATGAATATCTCAGTCTGAATAGGAACTGAGAGCAGCGACCACAGACCCCGTAGTCTCAAAAGTTGAAGAAACATCAGCATAGCCTTTCCAGGATGTGTTCACCTTGAGGGATGGGTACAACCATCTCTTCGCAGAAGAAACAAAGGCGTTGGGGTCGGACTCTAGAATGGCTTCCCAATCCACTTGCACGCCTTCCGGGATGCTTCCAGTAAACTCCATGTTAGCCGCTAGGAAGAGACCAAGCAAAACCACAAACCCGACAACTGCACTTCCTCTTGAAAGTGGCATGAAATTATACCTGATAATGTCATATCTTAATGAGTTGATACTCATTTTCATCCCTTGACTATTACACAATTTGGTACTAGACTATGTAGTTTAGACCCAGTTTAGGGAGTGTTTGCAACTGCTTCTGCTTAAAAAAAGGCACTTTTGGAAGTGATTTTGGAAAAAGTGATTAGTAGTAAAAGTTGATAGTGTTTGAGAAAAGAGTGATTTTGAAAAGTAAAAGTTGGTAGTGTTTGGTAAAATAAGTGCTTTTTGTGTAATAGAAAAAGTAAAAAACACTTTTCACACGAAAGCCGAGAAACACTTTTTTAAATAGAAGTTGTCATTTTAAAACACTCTTTTTAGCTTTTTTAAGCCAAAAGCCGAGAAGCGCTTTTTTTAAGCGGTTGCAAACACTCCCTTAGTCCTAATGCAAATTTTGCACTAATTAAGAACGATGTTTTCATATACTGAGCAGTGAGCACCAAAATTCGGTCCAAGTTACATAATTGAGGGTGGCTAAGTTGACTTAAGGTTTAGTGAATGTACAAAAATACCCTTCTAAATAAAGCAAAATAATGCTTGAGGATTGGGTATTAAATCTAATGACATTCTTAGAATGTAAATTCTGAAATGGGAAAAAAAGTCAGCTAAATGTTTTACCAGTAGAACGTCATTCTCAAAATTGCATCCCTGACACTTTCTAGCACTTCCAAGTCAGTTGAGCCATATGTCTCCCCACTGTAAGCATCACATAGTGCCTGCATATCCATTTCCATATCAGCAACCACATGTACTATGCATGAATCTGTAGTGCTTTCAGCTTTTAATTGACACAATAAATTTCATTCAGACCCCAATGTCTAACATCATCAATGTTTTAAGAGCTTCCTTATTGTGGAAATGTTAGAGGGGATATTAAATCTAATATCGCCATGTAATATCTAGAACCGATGTAGATAAGATACTGGCGATGATGAGGAACTGAGGGGATAGAGATTTTTAACACCCACATATTAACACCATGGTGCGGCCAAGAAAATAGATCTTGGAGAGTATGTATGAACATTGAGCAAAAACACAAGAAACTATGCGGACAACAGTCAGGGCATAAAGTTTTGACGGGTAACTGGATAAGGTAAATTTGGAAAAAGCACATAGGTGGGCCAGGTGTGCAGGGAAAGCATAGCGTCTTGGTGGGAAATATCTGGGATTTCTAGAATAAAGCTAATATGTGAACATGGAATGTCAAAATAAGAAGAAAAAAAATAGACTACACTTTTCGGCTTAGAGATTCAGGAAATATTCCGACACCACAGTTATTAGCAGGATAGTACACTTCAAATCCTTTTGGGTGTATATACTATTAGGGATTTAATATTGTGGGGGGGATGAAAAATCTATATAGCTTGCTATCATATGCTTGCAAATATTCATGTCATTTCCTCTAGATAGATATACCTCCCATGCTGATGTCATTTCCATGTCAAATGCATCCCACCTTGCAGGTGTGCATGGTGTTCTTATTGAGAAGTCATATCCAACTTTAGGCCTGAAAAGAAAAAATATGAACAAGAGCAAAAGAAGTCTGAACCAACGGGAATGATAAAGAGAGATCTATACGTTTTTAGTAGTGTGATTCTTGTCCCTTCAAGATGTTTTCTGAAAGAAGCAAAAAAATGAGTTACTGACGCATGAAAAGGCTATAGTAAAAATGGCAAGAATATTGAAAATAATACCCCTCAAAGGCCGTGCTGTAGCACCGTGTAGCCAGCCAGAAGTCCTCACCAATAGCTCTGTAAAGATCATGGCAAGAGTCAGCACTCATAATCTGCAATTTGTTAGTAAAGAATTAGCCTATTATGTTCAATATAAAGAAAACGTAACCTAGAGAAAACATTTACACGATTGAACAGAGCCCACTAACAAGAAAGGGAGAAACAGCATGAGTTAGAAAAGGGTACTTCTTGGTTGGATAGAATCAGTTGAATTGAACTGTTTGGGATTAAAGTACAAAGAATTGAATGAATGACTCGGACCCAATTCCTGGAAATTGAGCAAAATTCATGTATTGTGGAGACATATGATGCCTCTGATTTCAGGAATAAATAAGGAAATTCCCAAGGATTCTTATTCCAAATTTAGGCATGCAATGCAATTCTAGGGAATAATAGAACGCCCAGCAATTGGGTGTATATCAATACAAAGCCTAAACTTGAATATACTACAATTTGAGAACTGAAAACTTCTTGCTCGCTTTTAAGCAACAAAATAGTTTATCTTGTTCTATATCCATATCAACATACTGAAACAAACGGTCTTTTTTCAATGAGTGCAACTCACCTCATGCAATTTCCCATTCCCAGAAAGATCTAGAATGTTGTCTCTCTTGTCAAATACATAATTATTCTCCTTTATTACTGCTTTGGCAGCATTTAGTGTTCTGCATGATAAGAAATGTCAACAACTCCTGTAAAAGGCTCGGCAGTAATGAAATGCATTTGCATTTCAAATGTACCTGTCAAAATTTGGATAGTAGCGAGCCACCTTGGCTTTCCCTAGAATGAGAGGAGTGTGGGACCCAAATCCTGAATTGAATTCTTCCTCACTGCGTATAAGATGATAATCTTAATGGAAATCCGAGCCGCAAAAGTTTAGGTTAGAAACCCCAATTAATTCCAAGTAAGTTGCATTATGAAATTCCTTTAAAAAATCTCTTTAAAGAAAGTGTAGGAGGTGATCATGTAAATTTTAATGACAAAACTAGTCGTTATTGAATAATAGAACCAAAGTGCAAATTCCATAGTAGTTTGACGTTTGTGCTAATGATAATATTCTTCTGGAGAATCATCAAAGTCATACATACATATTGTGTACAGTACACACAAATATATTCATGGAAGCATCAACCAAAAATGCCTCAACACATGCACATCAAAGTCATTAAATACAGAATTTTAGCAAACTTAAAAAGATTCAACCCTGCATTTATTAAGCAAACTAAATTTGCACAAGCAAAGGGTTAATATGTTTAGAACGTTTCAAGTATTTCAACACATAATGTCTCATCTCATAGGCTAAAACTTCAGCGACATTCAGTATCATGTGTATTGGACTGAGTTTTAAGCTCAACCATTTTTTTTAGTGACTTTTTTAATCAATAGTTCTTCCAATGCTTGTAAAAAAAAGCAGGAAGTCCTCAGTACCTTAACTTATTTATCCAGACAACTGGATCACATGGTTCAGATATTTGTCTCCATTTAACAGCTAAAGAATACACATCATGCCACGACATTGTAGGGCATCCAGCTGGTCTTTCATCAGCTGATCCATATGTTTCTGACGAACTGCTAGTGCTACAACCAGCACCACCCCTGTTTCGACTAAGATGGGTTATCCCTTCCTTCCTCCGGGTTCTCTTGGCACTTTTGGATGTGCATTTATTTGAGTGTTTCATTTCTACTCGTATAGTACGCCAAACTCTTGAAATTTTTTGTGCAATCTCAATAGCAGCTAAGCCAGCCATCCGGTGCTGAAAAAAATCATGAGAAGGATGGTCTATAAGAAGCAGAACAATGGTGGGACATAAAATTGTGGATTAATGTGTATGCACAGCAAAGTAGAAGAAGCAGAGAAATGGTGGGACATCAAATAAGTGAATAACTAGTCAATGACAAACTCCTACTGTCAGGTGATGTGATTCTACCATGAAAGTAGAAAAGAACAATCTCGAATGTTTGAATGCCAATGAAATTAGAAAATTAAATATCTTGAATTACTGCCAGAAGAAACTAAATTTTCCAATGTCATGGAATATTAAACTCTGACAGATGAAACCCAAGATTAATTGAATCTGAATGTGGCAGGGGGGATTATTAGGTGATGCACATGAGACCCTCAGCATCATACTTTTCACAACTATGTTGATTGAAAGTTGGGATGTGTCTGCCAGAGAGTTGGACAAATCCGTACTGTTTAACAGATTCTACAAGAAATTTAGGGAATAAACAGTGTAGCAGATCAGGAAGAATAGCAAAGTTATGATAAAACCGACAAGTAAAAAAAATGCAGGCGAAACTGGACAGGATATTGAAGCTTGGGAATAAATCCTTAAGACCTTAAGTCAATCACCTGACGCCTATTTGGCAAGAAGCCAGGACAATGGTATTGTATGCCCCTACCAATGGAATCTGCTGCCTGTAGAAGAGCGTGTGCTTGCTTTGTTGGGGAAGAATGTAGCCTTCTCACTTTTCCCTTCTTCAAGGATTCCTTCAGGGGAGGTTGCCTGTAAACTTTTTCGCACACATCTTTTGGGTGCAGTCTTTTGCACCAATATTCCTAAATAAATAAGTCAAAAATAATGTTATCTGTTGAAGCTTTATGAAGCAGAACCCAAGATTATTTTAGGCTTGGACACAGTTCATATAAAATATTATTCATCTGTCAAATTAATGTTTCAGAGTAATATGTCTCTAACAACATATATATATGAAAATGATTAAAGAAGAAAAACCAAATGTCACTTCTGAAGGACTGAGACAACAAAAGATAAATTATCCGCGGTTGCATTCATTCTACAACCAGAATACATGGGTTGATAGTAGTCCACGTACCTTAAATAGGGGGTCAATATCTCCATCAATATCAAACAACCAAAACTGACTGTTGAGCTTTGAAGCTGTATACAGTGCAATTTCTTTCTGCAAAATAGAATTTCAATGTGATATGACTAATCAAGATCAAAACAGAAAGCAGCCGACAATTGGAAATCCAAAGGAGGTATGTTGAAATAGAAATTGAAGTCCAGAATGTAACTCCGTGTGTCTCATTTTATCTGTCCCACTATAGTCTGTAGTTTGTCCGAAATAACATCCAATCACCTAATTCAAATTTTATACACCAGAAACGCCACTAAGTTTTTACTTTTTCTTATTTACCATTTCAACCTCATCATTTTTTAGGAAATGATTTCACGCCTATTTCAGGCCTTGAGGGGCACTTTGTAGCAAGTGGATCAGATTATTTTAATTAAAACCCATGCCAAAAGATAATGTCCCTTATATTTGGGATAATGGAGCAAAATGCTTTTAGATTATTTATTGCATAAGAAAGTGATAGACCTCAAAAATCAATCTCTGAAACAATTAAATTTGGATTCTTAGATAACAATAAACTTGGAACTTCTGAAACAATCTCTCATGCAGCCCGCCTCCCAATTAGAAGCAAACCAGTTTGGGATTAGAAATTGCTTAGCTAAAATCAAATACCCAAACAACTACTCCCTCTGTCTCCTTTTAAAGGGAAAAGGGGCAAATAAGCCCTCGAACTAATAAAAAAAGTGCAAATAAGCCCTTTTGTAGGAGGTTCTGTCCGATCATCATCATTTGGAGAGGTTCTCGGTGGAATTTTTTGATGAATTTTTTTGCGCATCTTCTTCATTAAGTCTAGTTTAGCCATACCAAATTTCAGCTAAAAATTCAATCGGGAAGGCACTCAAATGATTTTCGGAACTACACTGCGTTGTTTAACTGCGCAGTTATCTTAAAAAATTCATTTGACTGCCTTCCCGGTTGAATTTTTAGCTGAAATTTTGTATGGGTAAACTAGACTTAATGAATAAGATGCTCAAAAAATTTCATCAAAAAATTCCACCAGGAACCTCCCCAAATGATGATAGACAGACGAAATCTCCTACAAAAGGGCTTATTTGCACTTTTTTGATTAGTTCGAGGGCTTATTTGCCTCTTTTCCCCCTTTTAAATGTCCCGGAAGAAGGTGGCACGAGATTTAAGAAAAGTGAGTTTGTGTGGTTGATATTAATTGATAAAGTAAGAATAAAGTAAGAATGATTTTGAGCCACACAAACTTTACCAAATAAGGTATGGGACAATTAAATAGGGACTTCTCAATATGGTAAAACGGGACATTTAAAAGGGGACGGAGGGAGTAATTGTTAAATAGCATGTCCTTATTTCTTCAAAAGTTCAAATTTGAATAAAATATATTTTAAGGTTGCAACTTTTTTCCCTGAATGAATAAAAGCAGTAAAACAACAACATCCAAGCACAGTAGTCAAAATCGTGAGTTTACTCCAGGCCTTAGTCCCAAAAGATTTTGAGATCGGCTAACATGAATCGATACATGATATCAAAGCCAAAAAAATAAGAAATATAAAAAGATAAGTACATAGAAAAGATAAGATAAAAATAAATATAAGATAAAAATATAAAAGATAACATAAAAAGGATAAAAAATACGGAGTATATAAAATTAAAAGGATAAAGAACATAAGAAAGATAAAGAAGATAAAAAAGATAAAAGGATAGAAAAGATGAAAAGAGATCAATCCTCCACACGAATATTCTCCCTCCACTTTGCTCTCTCCAAAGTCATACAATAAAAACAGTAACTTACTTATATTTTACTCTTTAACAAAAAGTTAATATTCAGTCCAACTAGACCAGAATTTAAATTAGGTTTTAACTTATTTTTGGAGAAAGTTTGGAAAGACTAGAAAGAAGGGATTCACTAGCAAGAAGAAAAAGGGGAAAGGAACTTTGCACAAAATAGTAAATAAAAGAAGCATCATGACAGTGTGATTGAGTGTAAGAATAAGAAAAAATATTTATGCATAGAATTGGATACCTGATAGAAGGCCAAGCACTGAAGTACAAATTTTTCCATTGAATCTAATTCCACATCTAAAGCAGCATCATAATCCTTCACCTAGAGCATCAACAAAAATCAGGAGAAAGAATTCAGAGGATAAAATGAATATTAAATGTTATGGATCTTTAATACAAAACAAGAAAAAATGAATTTCCCATACTGCATCTTTATATTCTCCAATTGCATGATAGCAAGAGCCTCTCAAATACAAGCACTCAACATTTCCGCTATCAAGAGTTAGCCCCACAGATAGATCCTTGATAGCATTCCTAAAACACCAATGGAAGCAATTAATCCATGGATACCACTTCTCAAGACTAGAAGGGGTTATGCAACTCAAACTTTTTCCTTCTAGTTTTTAAAAATATAGACCATATTTGCAAAAGAATTTCCCCAAATCGGAGCAAAAAACAAGGTGTTTTCACGAAATAGGAGTACTTTTTCTCTAAATTAGAGTGAGTACTGTCATCTTAAAACCATATTGTCATCTTATCTTTTTAATGCCTGATAATGCCATAATATGGCAGTATTGCTTAAGAAATCAGGATGCCAATACTTAACTCCTATTTACGGGGGAAACATGGTACTCCTATTTAGAGAAAGCGCATTGTTTTTACTCCTATTTTGGGAAATTTCCATTGGAAAAATATATTTTCGAAACAATTTTGGAAAAAAAGGTCGAACAAAACATGTAAAGGGGTGTTACAAACAGTTAAAATAGTTTAACAAAAAGTACAAACCCAAAGTCTCAAGAACCTTACATAAGGCTCAGGCATCTACCCCTTAACTGATTCCTAAAAGGGATAAACATGGTAGAGACTAGGGAACATCACAAATGATTTCACTTCTATATATACCACAATTTCTTAAAATACCAGTATACCACCTTCGATAAACACTAATCCGTTTTGTATAGAAAATCTTAAAGGTCCCCACCTGTGATCTCCAATACCATGGAGAAGCAACCCACGCATATGATATCCTTTAGCATACCTATTCCCAAATGAAAACAGCCCGTAAATCTTGAAGCTTTATCTTAGCTTAGACTTTGAATCACATTAGAGTTCCAGCAATCACATCATAAGCACATTCAGATTTCAAAAATCAGATGCACAAACACACTAACATACCCCCCATCAATTTGCAGAAGTTGATGAAGGCATTCCAAAGCCTTAGCAGAATTCCCCAAATCTTTATGCAACTGTAAAAGAAAGAAAACAGGCCCTCAGCATTGCTGAATAACTGGAGATAGTAGAACAGAACACAACATACAATACTATTGATAAATGATAATAAATGAACATGAATTCCTGATTTGATTACGAGTCCAGCAACAGACCAATGCAATTTCTAATGACATCAATTTGGTGGTACACTGACATATTGCTATTAGAAAACATGAAAATTTTGATAGAAGACATTGAGAAACTTAGAAAGAAGCAAGAAATAAAACTGATTACCATTTGTATCACTATTATGTAAGATTGGACTTCTATAAAATGCATGCATACCTGTGCTAGATGAGCCCAGGCCTCAACAAAATTAGGGTCTATGTGAATTGCCTTCATGTGTGCCTCCTCAGCCTTTTTATATTCACCAATTGAAGCTAATGCTAAACCCTAGAAAGGTCAGCATTTGTAAACAACAATAAGCTAACGTACATATTCAAACAGAAGTACGGAAACTAATACATTCTACAAGAAATACTAATCAGTATAGATAATAGACTTACCAAATAAGTGTGTGCAGATTTGTTACTCTTATCAAAATTTACACATGAGTAAAGATCTTTAGCAGCAGCTTCGAACTCTTTGAACTTAAAGTTCACAATTCCTGCACAATTTCACTTTCCACTTTGCATGACGGATCTCTATCATTGCATGTTATACATTCAAGACTTAGAGTACTTGAGTGGTTGTTTTAATAATGAAATCAGATATGTTAAATATGGTATCATTCCTTGGAAAGTAAGCCAACATATTAATTAGGGAAAACTATCAAATAGGCCCCTGTACTATATCAAAAACGTCAATTGAGCCCTCATACTATGAAATCACCCAATTGAACCCTTGAAATATAAAAAAGCACCCAATTAGGCTTTCTAGCCCGTTACTAACTGGTTAGCCAGTTACCCCTGACGTGGATGGTTGGCATAGCCTTAATTTATCCATGTGGTTTTTTCTTATGTTTTCTCTATTTAAGTTAAATAAGAGAAATCAACAGTTTTCTTTTGACTGTTGTTATTCATACTGTTTCTGCGTCCGTTTCCTCCATGCGCAAGGCTGGAAGCCCGGAAAAAACTAGATTTTTTCTCCTCTTTTGCTCTCTTCATACTAGATCTATCAGCTCAAGAGGAGCTGTCAATTCAAAGTTTATCACTGCACCCGTTCAACCATATCGCCGCTTGATTATTTACCGCCACAGAAGATATATTTGCTTATCTGAGTGTGTGTGTGTGTGTGAATACAGAGATAGGTTAATCGACAACAGTCTTAATCTCATACTTTCTCTGAAGAAAGAAAGAAAGAAATAAAAACATTAGAAGATGGCTGATTTCAACTTTCGTCTCTCCCCAAAGCCTCACTTCCTCTTCCTAGGCACTTCCTTTTAGCCCTAGGAGACAACATAGTCCGTTGCCATCATAACTTCTATTTTTTGTTTCTTGAGAAAGAAAATTGAAGGGTAGAGGCCGGCTGAAAAAGATTAAAAAGAGAACCCAAGAAGAAAATTTTGAGGGAGAGGATGCAGATTATCATCACTTCTTGATGAACAATTTGATGATTTTTTAGTAGGCTAGTAGCTATCATATTATTTATACTACTGATCACTACATATTTATAAGATTTATTTTACTTTAAAATTGAAATAAACGTAGTATTAATGTACAATTGAGTTCTGTCTTTGAGCAAGAACAAGGAAGGGTGTGGAAAGCGTAGATGCGTAGGTTATCACGGAAAAGTCGGTCTGAAGAAAATTAATGCCACATCAACCTCCACATAAGCAGGCAACCGGCAAACCTGATTGTAACCGGCTAAAAAAGATTAATTGGGTGTTTTTGTATATTTCAAGGGTTCAATTGGGTGATTTCATAGTACGAGGGCTTAATTGACGTTTTTTATATAGTGTGAGGGCCTATTTGATAGTTTTCCCTAATAATTATAAATGTATAGAGATGTCATAGATGTGGAGCACAAAGAGAAAGAAACAAAGAGTCTAAGACACCCAGGAATGAACATTTGATTTTTCAATTATGATGAAAGCCTAGAAAATTACCCTTTTCATGCAATATGTCAGCTGAATTTGGTTCAAACTCCAAAGCTTTAGCCAAATCAGTAACTGCCTGGTATTAAAGATAAATCAGAAATTTCATGCAAATATATATGACTTCTGCATTCATTATGTTTTTCAATCACAAGGTGATTCTTCTCAACAGCAGAACAGCTGCAGTTTCCTTTATGGAGAAAGGAATACAGGAGCTTGATATTCCAAAAGAAATCACACCTCGACAGACTCCCCCAAGGCAGCACGGGCCTGCCCTCTGCGTTTCCAAGCCTCACCTGCTGATGGATTTGAGTCTATAGCCTACCGGAACAACAAAATAGTCATTACTCATAATCACAGATTTGGCAACTGCTCCACCTAGGAGTCAAATAGTTGAAGATGTGCTTACCAGTGTAAAATCAGAAATAGCTGCATCAAGTTCTCTCTTAAATGCATATGCTGTGCCCCTTCCTATTAATGCCTCAGGGTATCTGGGATCTTCATCTAGAATCTATATCGAATATATAAGTAAACATTATATATCGAGAATAGCTGGACATGCAAAATATATATGTTGGTTCAAGGAAAAGCAACACGAAAATGGTTAGTATATAAGGATATCTAAATCCAAATTAGCATTCATTGACATTTGACAGCAGTAAGGTGAATATCAACCTGATCAAATATGGATATAGCATCTGCATATCTTCCTTCATTAACCTGAAGTACACAGAAAATACATTTTGACCTTCACAGTAAGACGGAATCATTAGGAAAGGGTACATAACTCAGCCCAGACACACTTCACAACTCAAATCAAGCCTTAATATTAAAATTTGGGGTCTTTTGAAGGATTATATCTCAGTTCACTACATTTGTCACTTAGCATTACATATTGTATGTACTCTTACTTAGGGCTGGCACTTTGAACCCAAAAAACGAAAACCAACCCGAGAAAAACTGAACCGCCAAAGGAGAAAAACGAACCGAACCAACAAGGTTGGGACCCGAAAATCGGTAACCGAGGTCTACCTCGGTTCGGTACCGGTTCTTGAAATTCAAAAGGTTGGTTCAACAGAACCAAACCAATTTTATATAATATATAATAAAATTGTTTTCCATCATTTGCAATGGAGCCAAAGATTCATTATTTTTTGGCTTGAGAATATGATGGAATAAAGAAAAATGGCTCACTAAACTGTCTGCGCTTCTTTGTTATGAAGTAGCAGTCAGCCCATGCAATTTTGGACGCAATTTTCACTATGGGTCATCCGGAAACAGTCTCTATGTGCTTCAGTACAGAGGTAAGACTGCGTACATCCGACCCCCCCTTACCCCACCGTAGGTGGGAGCCTTTGCGGCACTGGGGTAAATGAAAATGATGAAAATGAATATAATAAAATTGTTATTTTTATTAATACATTTCTCCAAGATCAAGTCCCTCCACTTACAATACATGTCTAGACCAAATTTTACCATCATGTGTAGATGAAAGTAGTGTACTGCATTGCTGATTTTTCATGGCAGAATTGTGACATTAAGAATATCTCTTAATTTTCATGACTGTTTTTAGGACTACAGGTTTTTAGTTTAATTTACAAGCAACTTTGACTTGTGATTGTTTTTAATTTTTGATGTGGTTTTTCCGTTTTTGTGATGCGTGCTTATTCAGGATGACTCATGTATTAATTTATGAATTCCATTTTAGTTCATATGTTTCAGTATTTTACCTGAAACCGAACATAAAAACGGTTCCCAATCAGGTCCCAATCTATTTTCGGTTCGAGCTCAGATTTCATTTTTAAGAGAACCGAAATGTATGTTCGGTTTCGGTTTTTTTTCCACTTTCGGAGTAAGTCTTACTCCCTTGGACTAACATAATTTCTGTAATTACTTCAATCCAAGTCAGTTTGAATATACCGTCACCTCTCTTGAATCCTATATTCCTATGAATGTCATGTATGACTACTGTAACAGCAACAGCATTCATGAGCAAAGAAAGGATAAATTATCTTTCTTGTAGACTTAAAAAGCTTCAGATATGAGAGTGTACCCGCGCTTCTCGCTTTAAATCAAGTATAACTGATGATTAGAAGCATATCATCACAAGCTTTATGAATGCAATAAGAAAATCGAAAAGAAGCCCGCAGAGTCTCAAAAGTAATGCAAAGAGATTACTATTCATGAAATGAGCACTACTATGTCATTATTTCCAGCATGCTTATGAAGTAACCAACTAATGAGTCAACGTAGATGGCAAACGTTGTTCCATGTCATCATAATACCATGGGAGCCAGGAGAATGTACCTGAGATACCCCCCTTGATAATCGTAAATCCAAAGTTACTGATCTTGTCTTCACAGTCTTGCTGACGCAGAATTCTTTACCTCTGTTATTGGCATCGCTCATTTCAATACGAACTCCAGGTTCATTATTCAACTGGCTCAAAATCTCTGATGATTCGCTTGATTCATTAGTGACTAATGACGACCCACTGCATTGTTCGGACCTATCATTTAAGTCACCACATACTGTAGAATGAGAACCCAATGTGACAGGAATACCACAGGTTCCATTTGCTTGTTTTTGATGACTTCCATTTGACAGTATACTGCCCTTGCTATTTTCTCTCGCCCTATTATGACATCCATTTGATTGACAAATGTCATTAATATTATCCGTTTGATTGTCCATTTTCTTTCTAAATTGTTTCAGTTCACCATTTAACCCATGGTTCTTACAACTTTCAACAATATTATTAGAAAGAAGAGGCCCAGAGCCAAGTCCACACAACTGTGAAGAATTATCATCGCCAGGTATGGATGTACTTCTAGCAATCGCTAAAAGTTCCTCTAACTCCAATAGCTGTTTCAAATCAGTACACCGTTGAACAGCATGTTCATAGCCTTGCTGCCAAACCAGTATGGCTTCCACTCTCTTACCCAACACAGATAAAGCATGACCTAATTTCAAACATTAGGCATTGAAGTTTATAATGCATTCATGTCTCAAAGCAAAGGAACTAAAAGTTGTCTATAATTCTAATGATTACCATTTCTTTAGAAATAGAAAAGTTAGAATCTGAAAAAAAAAAAGTACAAATATATCACTTTACATTTCCACTTCTGTTACTAATTTAGTTTACTGTTATCTTTTTCATTTCCTCATAGAATATTAGCAGTATCCCTTCAGAAACGGAATCAGGTAACATATGTGATGCTTATAGTAAGATACACAGATAACGCTAAAAGCAACAAAGCGGCTCTTGTTGCACGTGCTGTATTATCTTCAGCCACTCCTTCGTAAACAAATGCATGCAGAAGGATCCGAGTAAACATGGACTTATGGACTACCATACATCATGTTGACACCTTGCTTTATTAAATAAATAGTTTTGATAGTCTTTTAAAAGATGGATGGTGAAAGGTGTTGAACAGTGATAAGTATAACAGCCAAAGTACGGGTTCCAGAACTATCATACTTATGCATGGAATAATTGAAATGTCCCTTTCCATATCTCATATATCCATCTCTATTTTTCCGGAAAAGATTAAATTCCAGTTATAGATCTCAACGGACTGAGCAATAAAAAAAAGGAGAAGAGTCCAAAAGGACTTGATAATCTGTCAGTTTCGCCCATCACCCATCCAGGTAGCATGTAGCATAAAGGAAAAAGTTTTCACCTTTGCAGAGATTTCAAACTAAATGTGATACATATAAATCTCGAAAGCTGGCTACAAAGATGTGAAACCTTGAAGAACTCACCACCGATAGTGGTTGACTTCGCTTACAAAATATCTACAAGCAAAATTTGTTTATCTTTTCGCAAATTCAAAACGCGTGTCTACAGTAACTATCCTTTGGTTCTCGTATTGATGCATTTGATCAGTTAAATTAGCCAATATAATTCACCAAAACTCTGTAACAAAGAAGTGAAATGAGAACCTTTGAGTATGTAAGGTTGTAGTGCGGAAGAATCCAGCAGAATCGCCTTATTACAATCCTTAATAACATGCTTGTGAAGCTCCAGTTGACTATAGCAAAACGCTCGATTGCTGAATAATTAAATAAAGTCGCCACATTAGTAATCCATACACCAGAAGTAAATTTAAGAATACAAAAGGTTCATATATTACCGCTGAAATGAAGTGAAAAAAGAAAAGAGGAAATGAGAAGCTCAACGAACCAGATGTCTTGGATAAGGCAGCTCTTGGAAATAAGAGAATCGAGAAGTCGAATTGCCTTTGACCAATCTTTGGCACTGCATAGCTTCGCCAGCTCGATTCTGTCAGCAACCGCCGACTCCATCGGAGAAGGAAGGTCCAATAAGCCAGCGGATAGGAAGATGGTAAAAGTGTCCCTGATCCAGGATGGTGTTTCTGATCAGCTCTTCTACTTCCACTCCCTATTTGATTAGTTAAACTATGAGGCCATTGGCAAACCTCTTTTTGGACTTGTCACCCTTATCACTCAATTATTCACCAAACACCTAATATTTACTTTGCTTTCGCGCTGAAGGGTGTAATAAGCAGAAAAAGTAAGGTTGAAATTACTTTTCTGGACTGTATTGGCTGAAATTAGGGGATATGAGCATTTTAGCTATTTTTAGCCAATGATTCGTACTTTAGTGATTTTACAATAATAATCTCTACTGAAAAAGTCAACACAAATAATCCAAATTCATAAATATGTCTACATAGATAGACTAAACCTTCATAGATAGATTATCATCCTTCAAGAAAATAATTATAGTAATGATAAAACAGTAAACTCAAACTTATGACAATGGTGAACATAGTCAATATTGTATCCTTATATATTAAATATCAAAAATATTAATCTAATCTATCTATGTAGACGTGTTTATGAGTATGAATTATTTATATAGACATCTTCGGTAGGAATTAGTATTGTAGAACCGCTAAAGGTATAGATTATTGATATGAATTTCACTATTTTTTCTTTATTTATTAATAAAATACTACGTATATTTTAAAAAGAGAAAAAGAGCAAATAAGCTCTTGAACTATTTGCGTTTTTGCAATCAGACCCATGAATCGGAAGACTTTTTACCTTTTTAACTGTTAGTGCCAGTAATTTCGCATCTCTTTACCTGCACCAGCAGGTAAAAAAATGATCTGATTGCTTAAATTTCAACGAGTTGAAGGGTGTATTTGCACTTCTTTCGGTTCAAGGGCCTTATTGTAGAATCGCAAATAGTTCGAGTGCTTATTTGCCTCTTTTCTCTTTTAAAAAAGAATCTTAAATCGGCAGAAACAACCAAATCAGCCGATTTTTGTGTATCAGACGGACTCTATATGTTTTGAAGGAATATAAAAAATATATAGTGAACAACGTGAATAATGTAAAAAATAGTACTCCCTATGCAAATATTATGTGAGAAATGTTGGAAATTTTGGAATATTTCAAATGAATAAGACTTTTTGCATTTAAGTATTTTAATTTATAATTTATTGCGTAAATGGTTTTTGAAATCATTCATTATGTTTTATAACTATTTATAATTGTTGTGATAACTTCCTATTGGCCGTTACTAAGATATCAAAGGCCACCAATGTTTGTTATTTAATATTATTGATAATAATTATTACTATTATTAAATATCATCAATGATTAACGTTTTTCATGTTATGATTTCTTAATATGTATATATATGCTCATATATACATGTTGTATGCGATGGAAACTAGAGAGGATTACATGTTTATATACGTAGTACATACTTGCTCCATGAGTGCTCCTACAAGGAAGAGTTAGCTTGATGTTGTTGAAAAATTTTATTGCTGGGTTCATATAATATTTTCTTCTCGTTAGTTCTGGTACCGGTTTTATAACCGAAGGGCTCGTTATATCTTGGGGGAAATTTCCGTACGCCGGAAATAATTCCTTAGGACAGCGTCTGACGCGTCTCGAGCCACTAATATATTTTTAGTTCTTTTTAGTGATTATTGTGCAGGTCAATTCTTGGAGCTAGATAGTCAACGAGGTCAATTTTTGGAGCTAGATAGTCAACAAGGTCAATTCAGGAGCAACACGGTCAACACGTTGATTTTGGAGGGATAGAGCCAACAATCTAAGGAATTAAGGCGAATAAAGATTACACTGTCAACGTGCCGGAAACTCTCCTTGAAACAAGCTGCAAAATTCTAGCTCCCACTAAATGGTCAAATTTGCGGTATGTGTTTATAACTATTCACATTACAAATAGTTATGAAAAAAAATTATCTAAAATTTGTTAGGGATGATTATAAATTATTGCGGTCATTTTTTTTTAAAATTGGTTAGTGACTAATGTGAATGAATAAGTGGTAAAATTTGAGGCTTCCAAACTCATCTGTAATTTAAATATAAAAAAAAAACAAATTAAAAAAAAAAAGCATTTGTATGTGAATGACGTATTTCACTTGATTGAAGATTTAGACCGATCTTACTTAGTTTACCTTCTCTCGGGAAAAGTTAATTGCGAGACAAATGTTATCGGATTAGAGTTTCTAAACTAATAGCCATACATTATGTTTCGATTGTAATCCAAATAGGTGTCATATTATATTGAAAATTATGTGAATTTTAATATTGCTTCACATCACCGATGTAGGTTTAATTTTGAATGGGTTCAAATGTGATATTTTTTTAAAATCAAAATTGTAGTGGAGCTTGTTTTGTTTCGTGTGCATGGTTTCATCCTAAGTTGGTATATGCTTGAGAATTGATTGTGAGAAAATCTTGATGGTCTTACTTTTATCTCTAGATTTTAATCACAAGTGCATGTAATTTGTATGGGTTAGAGATTTTGGAATTCTGTTGACTACTGAAATTTGTATACATTGCTTTTAAACCATTTCACGTATATTGAAAATTTTACTATGTGGTATTTGGATGGATTATTTATATCATACCATATATAGATGTCCTAGATCTAGTGTTTCTTTGGAGTTAGATCAGAATACTAGTCTTGGAATTTAGGCAAAACATTAAATTATATTTGAATATGTGAACGGTCTATGCACCTTATTTTATATATCCAAAATGTGGGAGGCACATAAACAATTTTAACTATGTCATAGCAATGCCATCTACAATATTCTGAGATACAAAAATTGTTATGCATGTGTGTGGTACTTTTAGATATATTATACTGGGTATTAATTGATTTGTGGTGAAATTCAAAACCTGAGGATGCAAATATATATTATGTGTCACTTTTTATTATAAATTGTGTGCGGAGATATTTTGAGTTGGATTTAGGAATAATTTTGTAGTGTGGTGTTCATTTTATAGAAATTTATCTTGATGCTCAAAGTGTGAATTTATTAAACTTAACACACTATGTGAGATCCGGCAAAATTGTCGGAAGATTGAGATGAAATCGAAAACACAAAAATGTATTTGGTGAGCTAAACCATTGTATTAAAGAAATACAATGATGGAATAATTTATTGAGAATTATCCATTGTATTATTACGATACAATGATGTCATATATATTCTATCAAGTGTTCCGTTGTACTAAATGAGTATAATGATAGACACATTTTATCAAGAATTATCCGTTGTACTAGAGTGATACGACGATGTTATATTTGAGTGTTATCATTCGTACTATATATAATGGTATGATGATGTTATATACATTATAATGATGATTTTTATATACACTAAATTTTAATATGTTCTTTAAATTTAAAGGTGACTTATGGTAAAATCTTGGTGTACAAATAAAAGTTGAGCTAGAAATTATCTTCATAAAATAGATATTATTGAATAAAAATTGAGTTTTGTAACTTTTGGATGCTTTTACATAAGATGAAATAGAGGAGCATATATACGATTTTCTTAAATTGTAGAATTAATCTGCTATTATGCAATACTTTAAACTATAATATCTTTGAGATTAATGTGATTTTTTTTTTTTTTGTGTATACATTAAGTGGTGCAAATGATCCAAATGGATATTTAAGATACTTTAAAAAGATATTGAGATACTTGAGAGGTACCATTAGTTATGGTATATTTGATTGAGATTATTCGTTGAAATATGTTGATCCAATGATGATATATTTTATTGAGAAATATCCATTGTACTAGAGTGGTACAATGATGTTATATATGAGAAGTATCCATTGTACGATAATGATACAATGATGATATATATTTTATTGAGAATTATCCGTTAGAATATCACATATTTGTGAAATCATCCGATGTACAAAAGTGTCACATCGATGTTATATTTTTTTGAGAGTTATCCGTTGTATTGCCGGGATACAACGACGTAATATGAGTCGACTCACATGAGATAAAATAGTGGATATCCATTCACCCTTAAAAGTGGTGCAATGATGTTTGAGAATGGAATTGTTCCATTAATTTTGTGAAGTTAAAAGGAATTAGCTACTCCTTTTGATAGAATCCCTAGGACGTTAAATGATAAATTAAACATCGAGGGAAATGGACTAATGTCACTTTGATAACAAATAGGGATGGGAACCCAACTTGTGTGATTGGAGATCCCATGAAGCAAGTTCAAATGGGTAATAGCAAGTCTTCTATTTGTTCTGCTAGCCTTGTAAAATGTCCATTTCTATGATGTGGAAGGCTAGACTGCATCTCTTTGTGAGGTTGAGTTAAAACTCTTAATGACTGTCATAGCCCTTACGGGTGGTGTGTTAAGTGCGGGACACACTTGATGAAGTCACCTATATGAGTGTGAGGTGGGGCCGCCTCCATGAAACATTGACAACGCTTCTAGAGAACTCAAGAAAACCAAGCACGCGCACGGCCTAGAGGCGCACAACGGCGTTAACGACGAGAAAGGTGGGGGTGAAAAATGATCCCCTAAGACACTGACTTACCAAAGTAGATTATTGGTTCATAGAAACTATACGTTTCACCAATAAACTCGGTATTTAAAGACTTAGGCGTCTAGGTCTGGTTCAAGTCTACGGACACCAGATTGAAAAACCTCACCCCATATATGAACCCAGTAAGGAATTGCTGATTTTATACAATAAAAAATTATTCATTTGAAATAAGTGGGGGATTGTTGGAAATTTTGGAATATTTCAAATGAATAAGACTTTTTGCATTTAAGTATTTTAATTTATAATTTATTGCGTAAATGGTTTTTGAAATCATTCATTATGTTTTATAACTATTTATAATTGTTGTGATAACTTCCTATTGGCCGTTACTAAGATATCAAAGGCCACCAATGTTTGTTATTTAATATTATTGATAATAATTATTACTATTATTAAATATCATCAATGATTAACGTTTTTCATGTTATGATTTCTTAATATGTATATATATGCTCATATATACATGTTGTATGCGATGGAAACTAGAGAGGATTACATGTTTATATACGTAGTACATACTTGCTCCATGAGTGCTCCTACAAGGAAGAGTTAGCTTGATGTTGTTGAAAAATTTTATTGCTGGGTTCATATAATATTTTCTTCTCGTTAGTTCTGGTACCGGTTTTATAACCGAAAGGCTCGTTATATCTTGGGGGAAATTTCCGTACGCCGGAAATAATTCCTTAGGACAGCGTCTGACGCGTCTCGAGCCACTAATATATTTTTAGTTCTTTTTAGTGATTATTGTGCAGGTCAATTCTTGGAGCTAGATAGTCAACGAGGTCAATTTTTGGAGCTAGATAGTCAACGAGGTCAATTCAGGAGCAACACGGTCAACACGTTGATTTTGGAGGGATAGAGCCAACAAGAAAATGTCTGAAGAATGGGAAAAGGAATACTCCGTATTTAAAGTATGGAACAAAAGATGAAAAAGTACCCAAAAAATACTTTTACCAAAAATCAAGCATGGCAAATTATTAAATAGTTCGAAGAACATATGTTGCAACTTGAAACTAAAAAAATATGAATGGGTAAATGAAATATGTTACAATATTACTGCATTATTCGCATTTGTTATATAATAGTGAATCTTGAAATCTTCAATTGAGTAAATTGCTTTTTAAATTTGTTAATTTTGTCTTTTAACTTGGGGTCTCTAATTCTAGAATTCATTCAATTTAAGGACAATGTGCCAAAACTAATTTTAGTGTTTTGGCGTTGATCTCTTCATTGGAGCCCCCTTGCAAATTGTGTTTAAGAGATATATTAATGACTATGAATTTTTCAAAAGGTTGTGTGGCCGTTTTAATAGTCCTAGTTTGAGGGGGTGTATGCCCTTTCATGTGATAGATTGTGTCTTGTAGACTTGTAGTGAATGATTGAATTGCATTAATTCTTAGAGACTGGCTCTATACAAGTATAAGATAGTGATTCTCTTGACTAAAAATATCAAATTAGAGTTGTCTAATCCCTTGTACTAAATTTTCGTGAAACGTGTGCTTTCTTTTGATATTTCTAAAACTTTGAGAATTAAGAAGGAAGATGAAGGTTGAAGCGGGTGGGGAAGGTAAGAAGCCAATGACGAGGTAAACTAAATAATAGTAGTATATATCTTCTTCACATTTTAAACATTTTGATGGTGGAAAGGTTTAGGAGATTTAAATATAAAACCTCAAACTCTCCCTCTCATCATTGTTAGGATGCAACCCCCATTCAAACATTTCTCGTACTCACACACATGAGGTCGTTTCACCTTCAACGAATTGTTTCCAGTGCGACCCTCTAGAGAAGACATCACAGATAGGTCAACGCCTTCACGTTTTCAGCAAGAAGCAAAGTCTCACTCATATAATACCGATTGATACGAGACTCAACACTAATTAAGCGATGACTAGAGCTAGCCTCGAAGGGATAGATGATCATTAAACAATTGCACCCGGGACACAAATTTAATGGTTACAAAATGGCAAGAGTGGGGGTGGCCTGAGTGGATCACATCTCGTGCATAAGGTACTAACTTGTGGGAGATATTGAGGTCAAGTCACCTAGGAGGTGAATTTGTGAGGCTTTAATCAAACAGTAATATCAAATTTAACTCCTTGCTTAAAATATCATGTTGCTTAATCAATATGTGATAGTTCTTTGGGGATGCGTGTCAGAAGCTTAAAGATCCGCACAATCAATTGAGAGTGATTCGGTATGTATACACAAATGGGATTGAAAAGTTTAACAGATTGTTGGAATGACTCGAATTTTATCTCTCAAGTTTGAAGGGGTTTAAGAGAGCCTAAAATTTAATATTTGACGTAATACATTAAGTGAAAATTTGATTTCAAAATGGAACCAGTTTACACGTAGTATACATGACGAGCACTTTGTCGTAGTGTGCCTCAAATTAAATTCACTACTAAGGGCTAATACCGTAGTATAGCGTAGTAGAGTTCGTATCCACAGGGAAAGGAGCTTTTCGCGTATGTGTAAGCGTAATAAATAAAAGTAAACGGAAGGGGGAATTGGATATTTTGATAATTGAGAAAGCAAATAAAATACTTAAATGAGTGAAATAAAATATCAAAGGTAATTAGTCTTGGTTTTGCTTTTATCCACTTAATGAAATGTTCGTCGATCCCGGTTATATCTTTAACTATCTTCCTCTCGAATACTCAATCGAGGAGTATATCCAGTTCATCGAGGGTAGTTATTAATAACGAGACGCGTTTATTAATAAAACTTACTACCGAATTAATATAGAACACGCACCGTATATTTACTCAATAGTAGCAATAAATTCAAGATGAAAACGATTGAAATTGATAACCTCAACACAAACGGTTTATTGGTTTAATCAATATAATTAATTTCCCTTAGATTATTAACCATGAGACGCATCCATTAATAATCCAAGTTTACTACCGTGAAAAGATCGAACGATTAATAAGCGTATTCGTCGATCGATTCTAGTAATAATTAATATATGAGACAAAACTAGTTGATCCTTTAAGTAATACTCAAAATATTAAAATGAAATATGAATAGGAATTAATTAATATTCAAGGAAGAATATTAAAGAAGATATAAATCCTACTATAACTAATGTCAAGATGTTAACTAATTGTCATTTTAGTAACACTCCCCAACATTAATATAGAGGAAGAAAATAAATACTACTCTAACTAATGTCGAGATGTTAACTAATTGTCATCTTAGTAACACTCCCCAACATTAATATAGAGATAGTATTAAGGGAAAAATTAATATTCAAGGAAGAAGATTAAAGAAAATAACTCACAACTTACAATTCATTAAGTTTCAAAGTAGCAAAACCAAGATGAAAGACTTCCTAAATTACAAGAATAAAGTGTATATGAAAGAGGGGATTAAATTGGTATCTAAAATAGGAAGGAAATAGGTGTTTTTATAGGAGAAGTGAGGTGGTTGGGTCTAAGACATAATCTGATTTTCCCATGTTCACTTGCTTTATTTGATCTCTTATGATCTCCGGGTCGAATCATATCCGATTTTTCACACATCTTTGTCCTCCATGAAGCTTCCACTTGTCTCCAATGTTCCTCCCTTATGCTCCCAAGCTCCTTCCCCTTCTTTTCATCATGTTTTTGCTTACGTGTCAAAATATTTTAATATCTTCTAATTCTTCTTTAATTTTAGAAGATAAAGATTACACCGTTATTGTACAAAAGTTAAGTAAACATAATGTAAAATTATTCAAAAATGTGGTATTTATGCAGTACTAAATAGTACGCATCAATACACCTTTCATTTTTTTCTAGTTTCAACATTTTGATCTTTTTCCATAAAAAGCATCTCGAGCTTCTTGACTATTTTACTCTTTTTCCTTCAAGTATCTTTCTATCATGAAAACGTGTGGCTCAGATGGATTGAGTGTGCTTGATGAGGTTTCATTTGAATTATTGAAGCGATTAATTTCAATCATATTGGCATGAATGATGAAATGCTATTGACTTGAATTGCACTAAATAAATAGATAAATAAAATAATAAATACATACGTAAGAACTCTTCATTTGAATGCCAATTAATAGTTCATTACAAATCATACATATTTCAGCTGAATTTCATTAGCTAACATGACACACTTAAGGAAATCGCCTACCTGAGCGAATACATCAGTGGAATTCCCTACTCAAAGTCACATCTAAATTTACCTTACTCCACCAAAAATGAAAAACAAAAAAGGGGAAAGGACTGCTAGTATTACTCCCAGTAAAGGGATCTAATGATTCAAATGATTTTATTTCTTCACATTTGGGCTCTATAAAGGCACTCAACATACCATGCTACTGCTAGCCGTACAGGCTAATATATATAATAATAAGTAGCTTTCAGGGCCCAAATTTTCTTCCTTATCCAATATATCCCACTTGGTCAGCATTCAGCAAAGCACAACTTTTGACTGATGATCAAGGGTTTCTTGAACAAATTCCCTACAATTGGGATGCTTCCTTCCTAGGCTTGGAAAATGGCAGTTCCCGTGAAACAAGGTATATTATGAATGCAATATATGCAGCTGTGAATGTGAATATGGCAGAAGAAAAGGCCACTCCTCTAATTTCTGAGGAGAAAAAGTCTACCATAAGGTACCCATTGATTGCAATCAGGAAGATCGCTACTAGCCATGATATGACCTACATACAAACGGCAAGACATAGAAACAGTTACAAGGAAATCCACAAAACATGTACCAGGCTAAGAACAAAGTACAGGTTGTTTAACTTATTTCGGTAGCATTACCATTGTAGGATGAAAGAAATTGCTCCCTACTGGAAAAAGCACAGGTTTTTTCTCTATAACATTTAGCCATTTAGGTTTTAATCCTAAAGTATAATTCTTTTAGTTCTATTAAAAGAAAGACAGCCTCATAATTAGTATCCAACATTCCAACATAGCCTTAAATCGTAAGTATAATCCATGGGTGAGTGACTCACTGACCACCCTCACCACATACGTGATCTGCTGACTAGGGTTTCAGCAAATCATGATATTGTCTAATAGATGGTGGTCATTGAGTTAGTGACTCGACTCGCTAACTTTAGAGAGATTGCCATGGCTGGAAGGTGTTGGCTAGTAGGGGGCGGCGGCACTGGCCGACAAAGGTAAGGATTGGCAGCTGATAGGGATGGACCTCGACCAGTTCTGGTTAGAGGTTCAAAATTATACCTACCCTTAACCAGGACAGGGAAATCCGGGTACAGGTCCTGTTTCGGTTTACCTGTCCGGATCAGGTTCAATTCTCAGAGTAATTGATCACTGATGGGGGGATGGGTGGGGCGGTTGTGCTTGAGGATTAGAGACCAAGAAAATCATAACCATACCTTGAGAATAGGGCCAATGGTGAAAACACCCATGAGCTGTTCCTTTGAGACTAAACAAAGAAGGGGAATGAGAGCAAATGGGATTTGGATTGCCTGAAGAACATTGAGCCACTCATTTAGAACATCCAACAAGTCCTCAGAAGTGTCAAAGGCGAGTGCAACAATCAGTGTTGGGATAATAGCACAACTTCTTGTTATCAATGCCCTTTGCCATTTCTTCAAGCTCATATGAAGGAAGCCTCCCATAATAAACTGCCCAGCATAGGTACCTGTGATAGTACTACTCTGCCCTGCAGCCAACAACCCAATAGCCCATATGAACATAATGGGAAACAACCCACCACCATACTTATCCTGAAGAAACTGCCCTGCATTTCCCAGCCCAATGCTGTTAGCCTGGTCAGTTCCAAAGAATGACTTGGCAAACACAGATGTGACAAACAGGTTGATGATGAAGGAAATCGCAAGGGCGGCTGCCGACTCAATCGAGTAGTAGTTTATGGCTTCTCGGACTCTGCCGGGCTTGCGGGTGTCCACATCTCTAGATTGAACTAAAGCAGAATGTAGGAATACATTGTGAGGCATGATGATGCACCCCACAACGCCCACTGCCTGCTTTATTGTTTTGGAGCCAAGCTTTGGGATCAAAACACCTAACATTATTATTATCACAACAAATCAGATTTAAGTTATTTGCGGTGAGTGGCTCAAGAAAAGATTCAGCAATGTTTTTGACAAAAATGACCTCAAGCCATGATGTATGAGCTATCCTCCCTTATTCAATTAAGAGGTAATTCCGGAATTCTGAACCTTTTCTTGAGAAATTGAAGGTTTCAACAAGATGGTGGTGGGGGTGTTCTTACCAAGAAGAAGCTGAACACCACTGGGTTTTGTGTCCCCAAACATCCAAGCAAAAGAGAGTGCCATAACAGCAATAAGGACAGCAAAAAGTGCTTCTAACTTCCTCACACCGTAGTTCTCAAGAAATAGAAAGATGAAGCTGTAACAGTATGAAACAAACAGTAGCTTTTATTATGAGCCGAATGATGGATTGAAATTGTTTAGTAGGCACTACATATCACTTCTCTGCAAATGGATTTAGTGGAAATAAATGCAGCCACCTATTTTGTTCTTTTAATTAATGTTTTCTTTCAAATTAGATTTAGCACTACCTTTTCCCAGTTCACAAGTGCTCCTCTATCTGACAATTTCTCAACTTCTAGTTTATTAAAAAAAAAAATTGCCAAAAAAAACAAAAAAAAAACATAAATTATATCATAAAATGCTCTTTTACCCATTTGTTTAACTCATTTTCGAGAGGGAGAGCAAGAATAATATGCTAATAAAGAAATATTAGATCTTCTCCGATGTATGAAAAAAAATAATCTTTTACTCCATACAGTTCGCAATTAAACACTCCTTATATGTTAAACAAATGATGCCTCCATGATCTTTAAGCAGACATGAGACACCATCTACCTCTCTGCTTAAATCGGAGCACATAAAAAATGGAAATGGCTACATGTGAAAATTTTTAGTAAAAAAAAAAAATAACCTAATCCGTCTTGATTAATTACAATACGGAGAGTATACACCAATAATTAACTTGTAGAAAAAAGTTTTCTGAAAAAATTTGCCAAAAAGTGAAATTAGAGAGACCTTCCCCGGGAGGAAATTGAAAAAAAAAATGAAGAAATAGTCAGAAATTCAAATCTGACACTATGGCGTAAATATGATTCTGAAAAGGGGCCATGAAATTATGTAGTGGTTTAAGATGAAAATTACCAGTCGGAAGCAGTAATCACAACACCAGCCCAGAGAGGCAGGAACCCTTTACTGAGAATCTTGATGGCAATAGCGCTGCCAATCACCTCCTGGATATCAGCCCCAATCAGGGCAAGTTCAGTCATGATCCACAGCAGAAGCCTGGCCCACCTGGGGTACTCATCCCGGCAGAGCTCCGCCAGGTGTTTTCCGGTGGCCACCCCGAGCCGGGCCGAAAGGAGCTGGACCAGAAGGCCCATAGCCGTGGCCCACAGGAGCAGCCACAGCAAGGAGTACCCCGCAATCGCACCTGCCTGGAGATCGCTCTCCAGGTTCCCGGGGTCGAGAAAGGCGATGCTCATCAGAAATCCGGGTCCGGTGAAGAGCCAGAGCTTCTTCCATGAAAATGGCGGCGTCTTGGTGTAGTCGTCCTCTGCTTCAGGCTCGTCGACTCCGATTACGTGGACTTTCTCGGAAGTATCATATGCCCTTTCTTCTACTGCTACTTCACCCGGATCGAGCAATCGGGTCGAAAGCGCCCGATTCTTCTGCTGATGGTCGTCATAGCTGGTCGGCATTTCTCCTATTTCTTACTATATATGTATAGTTGTATTATCGCCGGAGTACAGCCGGAAATAGCCTTGAAGTAACGGTGAAGGAGTGAGGGGAGTAGTGGAGGGTTTGGATATATAGGGCGACACGGGGAAGAAAATGTATGCTCTTCGACACGGACCGCCGCAGGCGTGGGGACCAGTTCATCCGTCAAATTGTATGTAGCGTTAATAAGAAAATAATTTTGACACCAAAATATCAAAATAATTCAAAAAATACAAATAATAAATTTGTTATGCAATTTTACGTACTCCGTATAAATCATGAACTTTACTCCCTCTGTCCACTTTGTCATTTTTCCTTTGTATACTTTCCCATTTGTAGTTCACTTCATTTCCCACTCCTCTATACAATCTTTAATTACGCAACTTTTATTTTTCTTATTTCTCATTCAACATGGTATGAAATAAGTATGGAAAAATTCCCGGGATATGACTAAAACAAAGTGAGTTTCTAGAAATGTGACTAGTTATGTTTTTTCTCGAAATATGACCAAAAATCGAAAAAAAAAAGAATTTTTCGTTATATTAAATTGTGGAAAGACAAAAATACCCTTTTTTTTTTAATATGCATTTTACACTAATTTCGTCCGGGTAAAAATATTGCACTTCATGAAGGCGTTATTGCACTACATTTATTGCACTTTATGGCGGTATTCACTGCACGACATAACATTACATAAAATTTAGCGTTTTTTTAGATTTCATAACTTTAGTTCTTACATTTGGTTAAATATTACATATAATGCTACGAATTTATAGATATTTTTTCATGTCATTTGTAATGCACTACTTTTCATGACATTGCACTTTTTACATTATTGCACTTGTTGCCATATCATTGCACATTTTGTCATAACTCATTGCGCTTCTTGTGATGTTCACGACATTAAATATAAATTATTCATTGCACACTTATTTCATCGTCTTCAACCTAGGTTCGTCTTCAACCTTGGTTCGCCATCAACCTTGGCCGCCTTGACTGAAGAATTTGAGTTGTAGGAGCGGCAGAGGGGCGCGGCTGAGCGGCAGCGAGTTGGATCGAGTGCAATCGTGCGGCTGGACGGCAACGAGGACGGCAACGCTCAGGGCTTGGGACGATGTTGACGAGCATGAATCGGGATGGAGGCGGCGCCCACGGCTCGAGACGACAGCAGCGCGCAGGTGTAGGGCTGGTGGTGGCGTACTGGCGTGGTCGGTTGGCGGCGACGGCGGCGAACAAGCGTGGAACTAGAGATGGACTGGTGGACGGTGGACGGCGGTCGTCAGGGCCGGCTCCAGCCATTTGGAGGCCCCAGGCGGAAGAGCTTCACAAAAACTTCAATAAACATATATTACAATTATAAAAGACAATGATATATAAGATAAAATAAATGGAAAAATAGCATGTATTGTGAATTTCAAAACAATATAGTTTTAAATGTAACATACGTAAAATGTATTAAAAGTGTACTTTTTAATACCCAATTTTCCTTGCCTTTTGAAGTGCAAAACTAGTAAGGACGTCACTACAATCAAGACTAGCTAACATGACATTTGCATTCTCATTTTCAACATTATTCTCATTCTCACCATCAACGTTCATATTGTCATCGTCAACAACAGTTGTTGAAGATGGAATTGTCTTTATATACTGATCCATAGACCCGAAAAATAATTTAACAACCGAATCTTTTCTCAACTTATTCTTTCTCTTCGTATATCCGGAATCAAATTTTCGCTTACCCGTCATGACAAATGACAACCGACAATACCTACACATTTGAGAATTAACATACTTATAACAAAAATAGAAGTATAGATAATAATTAACACAAACACCTAGACAACTACTTAGTCCCCACTAGTCCACTACTTATAAAAACTACTAATAAAAACTACAACAAACTACTTAACTCCTAAACGTCTAAACTAGCAGCAGAAAGTGCGAAACTAAGTTTAGAAAGGCAGAAAGCTATAAAAAAATAAAGAGACAAAGTGTGTTAAGACAATTACACATTATTTATTTATTTACTTATTTACACAATTGAGTCATACGGTCATACCTGATAGAAATTCGGACTTCAGAGATTGGACTCCGTAGAATTGGAGCGACGGCCGGAGCAAGAGTGAAAGGCAATCAGAAATCTCCAAATCAGGGCGCAGGTATGGAGGGCGGAGGGCGGGTGCTGGTCTTGTTGGTCACTGACGGCTGGACTGCTGAAGCTGTTGAGTGCCAAGCGGCAAAACGGCAGAATTGCGGAAACTGAAGTCGATTTGCTTCTGGGTTTTCAATTTTGGCGTTCTTGCGTGAGAAATCTGATGCCCAATTTCAATAATTGTATTGAAAAATTAGTTTTAATAATAATAATAGGCCTTTTTTTGGAGGCCCCCCAGATTTTGGAGGCCCTAGGCACAAGCCTGGCTCAACTGGCCATATGGCCGGCTCTGGCGGTCGTGGGTGCATGCAGTGGTCCCGGGGATGGCGGCGGCAGGGTGTGCGGTGAGCGCAGGAGGTGGGTGGATGTGTGCGGCTGGTTGCTAGGTTTTGTAGAAAAAGAGTAGGGATGTTAGGGTTTTATAGGTATAGCGTAAAGGGTATATTTATCCATAAAAATATTTATTTATTTATTAATTACGAATTATTATTAAATAATATGAATTTAGGTATTATTTTGGGGAAAAAACTAGTTAGGTCATAGATTGGGAAAGTGAAAGAGTTTTAGTCATATGGGGGATAATTGTTTCAATAAGTATTTATAAATTTATTATTTCGTTACATTGAGAATGTAAGAAAATGGGGCACTTTTACAATTTACTACTAGTAATTTATTTCGTCACATTGAAAACGTCATTAATAAGATATACATAGTATTAAATTAGATTGACATTTTCAGTTCTAATTTGCTCTAAAGTAATACATTGTGGAAGATTTCTATTATATGTATGTATAATAATACTAATTATTATTATTTTTATTATTATGATTGATGTTTGATCTGATCTTGTCTGAGACTGAAATCGGTTGAATTAAAAACATTCTAAATGTATGAAGATTTCCCAATTTGGGTTAGGAATCTATTACAGAAGTGGAGGAATATTTAAATTGTAGTTGTAAAAATAAAGAAAAAACTAAACATATTTACTTTTTTTTGTTGGGCTAAACAACATGTTTACTTGTGAAAAAATATATATATTTATATTTATGATATGATTTTCCATCCTAATAAAGGTAAGATACTTTATCAGAAGTTTTACATGTTTTCATATATGAACGTCTAATACTCTAATAGTATATATCAATTTCATTTTTAAGTTAAAAAGTCTTGTGGTAATTATTTCCAACAACTAAGAAGGTATTTACATAATTGCAAATCTATCTAAGGCTTATAATTTGAGTCATTATCGCATTGAGTTTAGAAAACATGCAAAAAAAGAGACTGAGTTTAAGAAATAAAAATTACATTTTATGTTTTTTATTTTTTATTAAAAATAAAAAAGGGATGGCTGAATCTGTGTCATACAAATTAATTCGGAGTAAGTAGAGGTTCTCAAAAAGTTACGTAGTATAAATAAGGTGGATTCGTTTGCAAAAATAAAAAATAAAAAAAAAATAAGGTGGATTCGTTTTCAAAAAAATAATAATAAATAAGGTGGATTCTATATCATCATACAATATTTTGTTTCCATATAAATATGCAATAAAAAATAGAATATAATAAAAAATAAAGGTAGATTCTATGGTACCCTTAAGGTACCATACCTTTGTCTACATGGACCAATAGGAATGATGCAGTTGAATTAATTAAATCTAAATTAAAAGTAATAGAATGATTTGGACCAATTAAAAAGGTACCGGAGTTGTCACCAAATATAAAAGTATTAAAAGTCATTAATAATTACGTAGTATTATATATGACGACATGACAGGATTATGTGGCACACCGTATGCTTTTAAAAAGCTCCTCTTTTATATATATTGATATTGATTTTCCCCGTCCAGCTAAGATTGACTCTTCTTTCCTTTTCTGTTCATTCCCCTAATATTATCTCATATGTAGTACCAAATTTAATAAATTTTGTGTGATTCTAAGTCATTCTTTGTTCTTACTTTATCAATCTAATATCAGCCACATAAACTCAATTTTCTTAATGAATGAGTGGGTCATTTAATATTTCCTATTTTACTTGTCTTACTTTCCTTTTTGGTTTGTTTCATAATAAGTGTCATCTTCCCTTTTTGGAAAGAAATACATGGTCCACGATATTTCAATTTATTTTACTCAAGTCTCTATCATAATTTTTACTTTTCCAACCACTTCATTAACAATTGTCTCAAAGTCAAAGGAGACACATGAAATGTGACAGAGATATATTATTATTATTATTATTATTTGAGATAATATTATTTATTGTAGGGTAGTACTAGTATTTATTACCTCATATCCCCTGTGTAAAGGGGTTATGATGTGACTTTTAATATTTCTTTGTTGTTCTTTTTTTTCTTTCTTCATTATCTTTCTGATGAGGTTAGTCCGCTCGTGTCATATCTTTTTTGCTTTTCGGATAATTTTCCAGGATTAAATGAGGAAAATGTAATGGTACATTATTAAGAAATATACTCCGATATACATTAAATTATCCGGTATATATTAAATTGGTAGAGTAAAAAAAGCAAGAACGGTTTACAACTATACAAACATCATCAGATTTGATTTCAATAGAAAGATAAAAAAGAAAGTAGAAAATCTCAACGGGACAAGAGTACTTATATTATTTCATTGAATTTTGTCTCTATTTCATTGAATTTTGCCTGCATTCTTTTATTATTCTTTTATATTATTGAATTGTTATTGTACTCCCTCTATTTCATTGAATTTTGCCTGCATTCTTTTATTATTTTTCTAAAAAGAATCTTTTTCATTTATAGTAAATGATTTGTTCGGATAATTTTCTCTTATATTTTGCACAACCCTCTACCATATAATTTTTTCTTTTTTCGTACTTAGAGCCCAGTTGGTGATGTCATCTTAAACTCCTCAGTGCTGTTCTGTTCATCTTATTCTTATTACTTATTACTTATTCTTATTTTATTA